ACTGTTTATTATGAAGAGTCCTGTTTATCATTACAGAAAATTCTGAGGGAAGGCTTTACTATACTAGAGAACTACACTAGTTTAATTTTAAAATTGCTCTACTTAAACCAGTACAAACCCCATAATGTAGACGTACCTGAATCAGTTTAACCTTTGCTTATTTCAGTTTAACTCAAAGCAGTAAGTTACCAACTTAAACTAAATTAATATAAGACTATGGCTGCACTCCGATGAGAGCTCTGTTGACTTAATTAATCCACCCCTAACGAAGCAGAGAAGCTAACTCCGGTCACAGCAGAGATAAGAAGCTACATCTTACACATCCTGGGTGTCAGTGAGAGCAGATGGACGGGATCAGGAAGATTAACAGCCTTGGGAGAAACTTTGCTGTTTTCTGGACGGGATGAAGGACAACACCATGAAGGTGTTGCCATCCTTTTGAAGAAGGGAGTGGAGCATTCCCTGCTTGAATGGAAATCCAGCAGCAGCAGACTTATGAGAGCCAGACTGAAAGGGAAACATAATATCACCCTGATTCAGTATTATGCTCCGACAAATGACAGTGACGAAGAAGTAAAGGACAAATTCTACCTTACACTACAGGTGGAGTTAGAGAGAGTACCACGCCACAATCTAAGTATTGTCATGGGAGACCGAATGCCAAGATTGGTAAGGACAACACAAACAACAACAGAGCAGTGGGAAGACATGGGTGTGGCACTATGATGAAAATGGAGAAAGGCTTGTTGATTTCTGTAATATGAATGACCTAGTCATCCAGGGAACCCTATTTGAAATAGTGAAATTCACAAGCTGACATGGTGTTCTCCAAAAGGCAAAAATAAGAACCAGATTGACCATATCATGACCAATGGCAAATGGTGAGGCTCACTGACAGATGTGAAAGTGAGAAGGGGTGCAGATGTTGGCAGCGACCACCACCTTGTGACAGTCTCCATCAAGCTAAAACTGAGGAGTGTGTGTCCACCAAACAAGGGACATAGACATTATGATATTGACAAGCTAAAGTCCCTTGATGAAGAGGAGGGGAATGCATATGAGGAGAACAAGATATGGGACAAAGTAAAAGCAATTTATAAACAGAGCAGTGAAGCCTGTCTAGGCTACAAGACAAGGAAGGAGTAGATTACACCCAGCACCTGGAATGCCATAGAAACCAGAGGAGCTCTGAAGAAAAAAGTTTTAGACACACAAGCCCAGAAGCTAAAGGACAAATACCACAAGCAGTATAGCAAGGCACACGGGGAGGTCAAACACCTTGTGAGAACGGACAAACTGCATTATGTTGATAATAAGGCAACTCAAGCACAGGATGCAGCTGCTTGTAGTGAACAAGGAACCATCTACAAAATGATGCGGCTTATCAGTGGTAAATGGCAGACACCAACAAACACTCTCATCAAGAACAAACAAGGAGACCTACTAACAACAGAAAAAGAAATAGAAATACACTGGACAGAGCATTTCAAAGAATTGCTGAACCGAGAGCAACTTAAAGAGGAAGCAAACATCCAGGAGGCAGAAGATGATCTTGATATCCGCACAGACACGCCAACTAAGGAAGAGATCATTCAAGCCATCCTTAAAAAATGGGAAAGCTCCTGGCAAGAATAACTTGAATGCAGAATTGTTCAAGGTAAATCCTAAATTAGCAGCATCTATTCTGGCCCCTCTATTTACTTCAGCCTGGGAAAGGGAAAAAGTGCCAGAAGTGTGGACCAATGGGGTTATAGTGAAGATACCAAAGACAGGAACTCTCAGTGATTGTAACAACTGGCATGGTATCACACTTTTATCTGTGACAAGCAAAGTATTGTGTAAGATCATAGTCCAGCGTGTATCTCAGGCAGTTGACAGCGTTCTCAGAAAACAGCAAGCTGGTTTTCGGAAAGGGCGTGGATGCCCAGACCAGATCTTCACTCTATGAAACATAATAGAACAGTTAGAATGGCAACGGCAACTCTACATAAATTTCATAGACTTTGAGAAGGCTTTTGATAGCATTCACAGTACCAGCCTATGGCGCATTCTGCAGGCATATGGAATTCTTTTCCGTATAATCAACGTCATCAAAAGTTTCTATTTCAACTTTACATGCAGTGTTGATCAGTGAGCTCAGTTTTGAAGTCAAAACAAGAGTACGTCAGGGGTATGCAATGTCTGCAATCCTCTTCAACGTTGCCATCAACTGGATAATGCAGAGTACAACAGAAGACATGCCAAGAGGCATTAAATGGACACTCTTCTCATCCCTTAAAGACATGGACTTCCCAGATGATGTCACTCTCCTATCACATACCCAACACCACATACAAGAAAAAAAAACTTGACTCAATGCATTCTGCCAGCAAATTGGACTGAAAATCAAGTGCAATAAGACCGATATCATGACCTTTAATATTGCCTCACCATCACCAATACACATAGAGGATGTTCTCACCAATGTAGAAACATTCACGTACTTGGGCAGCACCATCAGCCAGGACGGTGGAACAAGCCAGGACATCCGGAACAAAATCAGTAAAGCCAGAAACACCTTCAGGAGTTTAAATATAATCTGGAAATCATCAAAATACAACATCAAAACCAAACTCAAGATTTATCAGAGCTGCGTGCTTTCAACACTACTTTATAGTGTAAAATGCTGGGGAATGAGAGAGTAGGACATGTCCAAACTGTCTTCATTCCATACAACCTGCGTCAGAAAAATCCTCTATCCTTTGGCTTAGAACAATCTCAAACCAAGATCTATTGACACAGTGCAGCCAAGAGGATCTGAGCACCATCATTGCCAGGAGGCGTTGGGGATGGATCAGTCATGTGCTTCGGATGGAAACTGATTCCATCACCAGAGTAGCAATAAGATGGACACCTGAAGGTAAGCGAAAACGAGGCCGAAAACAAGATGAAGAGCTGTGGAAGCCGAGCTGAAAAACATGGGGCACAGCTGGGAAACCACTGAAAGACTTACCAAAAACAGACAAGAGTGAAGATGTTTCATCACTGCACTAAACGCCAGAGGCGTAATAGGATGTGATGATGATGAACGCGCAGCGGTAGCATTGTCGGAGGGAGAAGCTCTCTTGCCAACATAGCACAGTCCACACCTATGTTTACATCCGTGTAAACTAAGCCACCCACCTGAGTGATGTATTACACTCTAAAGTTACATAAGTGGTATTGCAGACATAGAGCCGTGGCTTAGGCTATCACTGATTTGCTGTAATAGCTTGGGCAAGTCACATGACTTCACCATGACTGAACACCTTTTTTACAAAGAAGCTTACCTATCTACCTACCTCACTGGGATTTATATGTCTTAACATTAATGAGGTAGTTTGAGGTCTTCCTATGAAAGGCACCACAGAAACACAAATTATTTATTCTTGGATTCTTTCTTCTCCCTTTAAGATGTTAACATTCAGTACTATTCCTAAAAGTCCAAGATTATAGAAGGAAAAACTAATCAATCCTGCTATGTGGAAGTGGAGTTTTTTGGAGAATATTATAAATACTTTGGGATAAAGGCAGCCAACCCAATATTCACACTGACCAATTTCCAACTGGGTTTGCAGAACAAAATGTTAGGGGTCTGATCTTTCCAAGAAGAGTAATGGTGTTTCTATGGGCACCCCTATAATTAGATGTAATGTGACATCATATTCAAGGCAAATATTGTTCCAATTCTGCCAGAACCACCTGTTCCTTATTTTAAAATGACCAAGCCACAAAGTACACTAAATAAAGAAATACCAACAAGAAAAAACAGAGTGGGAAAGAAAGGAGGAAGGGGGGGGACGGGATAAAAAACCCTAACAGACATAGTGCCTTACACCTCTGAGTTGCAGGGATATTTTCAAAAAATGGCCAAGCTAATGGTTCTCAACTCTGCAGTAATTAAATAGTTAGGCTCATTATTAGCCAAAGAACAGTTTATTTACAAGCTTTGAATTTCATAAGTGTAACGTTTAAGGCATTTTACAAATTAACTGTACAGCCAAAAAAAAAAACAAACGAAAAACCACTGAGGAAATAGTTCTAAATAGTTTTGATTACAAGTTAACATTTAGTAAGCATAGCTGTTTAACAGTGATAGAAAAATTCCACACAAAACAAAGTAAAAGTATCAAGAACTCATAAAAGCATTTGGAGGGAGGTGGAACGCTTCAAAACATTAGTCTCTTTCAGAGCGTTCGTCTCATCCTACTTAGATTCTGACCTACCCTCTGCTCTAAGTTACTGCCCCCCCCTTTCTGTCTGGACTTTCACCATGAATGATTTGAGAGTTGAAGGAGGGCCAAAAGAGGCAAAAGCCTCCCTACCCACAGATTCTGAAGGTGGAGCAAAGGCCATTCTCTGTCATCCTCTACGACACTAGTTAGCCTTTATACAGAACTGCTTTACATTTTTGTAAATATCTCAAAAACATTAGGCCTGATCCTGCAGCATTTGCCCCCCCCAAATCTGCCAGTGACATCAATGGGAGCATCCAAGGAGTGAGGCCTGTTCACTAGTTAAATGCTAAAATGTTTCTCATGTACAATTATCAGATATTAACAAAAGAAAACCATGTGCCTTGACCTAGTCACATCAAAAATATTACTTATCTTAGACAAAGGATAAACTGAGGGGAAAATTTTGCAACATGTGTGAACATGCTATTCTTGTGCATACATAACAGTTTTAGTTCTTAGAGATTAATAGTCAGGGGTTTGTTTACTACACATTTATGTGTGTGATATATCCTTGCCTAAGGCAGGTCGGTCCACTCTTTCTAATAGAATCATCTCCTTGGCCTAAATCACACAGCTCCACTATCCCTGGTATTGCACAGCCTTCTATTTCTATTGAGAGTATTTAGGACTAGCATGTAGTTTTAGGGAACAATTACTTATTACTTTGAGGGTAATTTTTCCTTAAAGCAGATATTATATTTTATTAAAGATTTTTAAACAAGTCAGAGATATTTAACACAGAACTGTGGGAACACATTTTATTTAGTAGTACAGTACTTTTACATGTTAATGCCTGCAACTTTCCCAACAGATTATTCTCATTGAACTTCTTCTGCCACCACTAACTAGCAGTACCATTTTTCCCATTAGCCTAGAAGAAGCATTTAACTTTCTCCGAGACTGACACTGTGCGCTGGGTTGCAATGACATCCATCAAAAGTGTTTTTTGTTAATAAACACCACCTAGAGGCGTGAGACTCTCATGTTAATGGGCATTGCACAGGTCCAGAGGAGGACATATCCCTATGTTTCCATGAAGTTATGTCCATGAGATCAGTCCTGTTACAGTAAGATGACCAAAAAAGGGAAGCAGAAAGAAAACATACAAGAACTGGTACAATAGCTATGTCCATCTCTCCATTAGTGGCTGATCCTACAGGAATATTTTTACTTCTGTATTTAATCCAAATTTATGCTTTCTTCCCCCCTCTTCCCCGCATCCTGCTACATGTCTTCTACCTGCTGCTTTTATTTCTCTTCCAGCTACACTATACAGTGATCAATAAGATAGGCTTTCTGAATTTCCATTTTTCTTGTCTTTACATTCACCCTTTCAACCAAAAAAATAAAATTAACTTACAAGCAAAAAAAAAAGTAGATAAGTTTTACCAAAAATATTAACATTTTGGTCCTCCTTACCCAACAACTTGTTTTATAGCTGACATATGATATAATTAGAACTGTTGTCTAGGTTTTAGCATTGGAATCAATATGTGAAACCTATCTACATCACCATTCACATGACTAGTCTTGGGGGACTCACTCACAGCTAGTGAAATCTGTATATATACACTCCCAACATACCTAAAAGAGTAATTATGATACTTGAGAGATAAATAAGAGGAAAGCAAACAAAACATGGCAAAATAAACTATTACCCTTCAATGGCAGTTGGATGCCTAACTGCTCCCTTTTGTGCCTTTGAAAATCTGCCCAATAATCCTTAAAGAGTTGTGCTGCTTTTAACAAGAGCCATATAGCAAAAATTCTACGTCCCGATGGAAATATTTAAAACTAAAAAAATATGAGTGCTGTAACTCTAGTCACTATATAGAAATAACATCAGCATGAATCTACTAAAAATGTTTTCTTTGTCACCACACTTTGAAGGATTTTCTAATTCTCTTGTTCTTCATTTTCATATTCGATAGTGACTATCACAGCAGAACCATCATTGCTCAGTGCTACTTTGCCAGCAATAAGCTTGCTTAACTTCTCAAAGGTGCCACAAAGTTGATTCACTTTGGGAATAGAAAAGATTTTTGCCAGAGGTATATAGACTGTGTTTTCATCAATGAATGGCTCCATGCTTCTCTCAGCAGCAAGTTTTTCAGTTTCAGCTAGAGAAAGGTTCTTTGAACACCTCATGAAATATTTACATGGCTGAAATTTGAGTTCCATCTCAAGGCCATCACTAGGCGCCTTACCCTCGGACTTGAAATCGCCCAGTAATCTTCTTTTAATGATGTCTGCTCCAAAAATAACTTCATTGACCACTGCATTCTGTAGGTACTTTTCATCTTTAAGACTTGGGTACACTGCCTTGAAAACCTTTACAATGTGCAAAAACCCAAAATATTTAACTTTATGACAGGCCCAGAAGCAACATAAGTCTCTAAAACAAAGCACACAAACGTCACTGCCCAAAACAAAGGCCACTCAATAATTTGAACTATAGGGGTGGGCGGCATTGCTGAGTACTGTTTTGGATAAGAGCATGTGGGAGAGACAAGCAGAAGGCAGACAGTAACAGAGTTGGGCCTTGTCTACACTACAAAAAAGTCAGCTTTTGTCAACAAAACAGCGGCGGTACACACTGAAATGCTTCTTCCGCCAATGTAACTCACCTGCTATGCCGACTACTAAAACAACCTCAACAAGAGGCGTAGGGCTTATATCATTATAATGAGGGTGATGCAGTATCTGTGTAGCCACTGCATTCCTTACATCCACTGTTGGGTGTCATAATTGTCAATTTCATGGCTCTGCTGGAGTCGTGAAATTGACAAGAAAGCTGGCTCGCAAGCCAGGGTGCTACCCAGTCTCCACTCCAAGGCGGGCTGCCACCTAGACTCCCGGTTCGGTCTGCTGCCTGGGCTTCCCACTACCTGCTGGGAGCCCTACTGCCTCCCAGGGTCCAACTCCCTGTCAGGACCATGGCAGCTGACCAGATTCGAGGCACGGATCTCCCTGACACAGGCAAGAAGCCCCTGACAGCTACCCTCCTACCCCTACCTCCCCACCCCCCCCCACCTCCCGCTCCTGGAGGGGAGAGCTAAGGCGAGAAGTCCTAGGGGACAGCTGGGCTCCCGATGGGGAGCTGCATGGAGCCGAGAGCTTTGGCTCTCAGTCCCCAACACTGCCCCTCTTCAGTCGGTGGAAGCACTCCTGATGAGGACATGCACCACTGACAGAAGGAGGGTAGCGTGGACATTAGCCACCGCAGTAATTAATACGGTGGCTGTAAGTGGACCTAACATACGTTGACTTATCTTTGTACTGTAGACATAGCTTTAAAAAGGTCAGAAGACCAATACAGCCTGGATAAGCTGGGTAAGAGAGGCTTGGGGCTGTAAGCAAAGGAATTATCTCCTGGGTTTTTTTTTTATTCCTCCTGTGTTCAGTGAAATAGTACTTTGTTCATTCCTTGTAAATAAATAAAATTACATCAAAGATACCCAACTCCTTCATCAATTTCTCCTCCTAACAGCTATAACCTGAAAGACCCCAAATTTTTAGCGAGGGTAACACTATTTTAGTTAGGGTAAATTTACAAGGACACAAGATTGCCATCGGTCTAAAACTTGATACCCATTTTTCCCCATATATATTTGCTAATTCCATGGTGTTCTTCAAAGTACACATTCCCTCTTAAAAATGCTTAAACCTGTAAGTATCAATGCCAGTAGCCAACACCATTAGCAACCAAACAATAATAAACTAGTGAATACAATGGAAGAGAGTGTGTGTTGACAATGAAAGATTTTAGTTCTAAGGATTATATATAGTAAATTAAAATAACCACTTTTGTACAAATTGCTTTTCCACTATAAAAAAAATAAACTGATCAGCTCCATATCACAAAAAATAATGCTCGATCATTACATTAAACAGTAGCCACTAGAGCCACCAAAGACAAGTTATTTCTACTTTGCTCTGCCCTCCTCCCCCAACTTTAGGAGTTGATACCTAGACCACTGTCAATTTTTAGGATTAAAATTTTGTTTACAAAGCACTTTAAAAATATTAACTACCTTTTGGAAGCTAATTTTCCAAGAAATCTTTATGTATTTTAAAATGTGGTTCTACTCTGAAAATTGTGAGGACAAAATTCACTTTTCCGTGTCATAACGTCAGCCTGAATGTTTGGTATTTTTAAAAACAATCACAGGCTTATTCTTTTCTCAATGCTCTTGAGTCTGAGCTGGTCTACACTGGGAACTTACATCAACACAGCTATGTCTCAGGACTGTGAACCCCTCCCGTTGGCATAGGCAGTATCTATGCGGAAGCACTGCAGCTGAGCCACTGTAGCATGTAGCAATAGTCAACTCTGGTATACACATAACCCTTATGATTCTGTCTCTCAAAACTGTCCCTTTTGTTATTTATTGATCCCTATACAAAGTAAACTAAATGGATATGTAGAGGGAGAGCAGGAGATACTTACAGTTTTGTAAGCATGTTCTGTGTGTTTCTCAGAGTTAACAGTTTCACCACTCTTTGGATATTTTCTCACAAACACACCTATTTGGGTACAAAATCCAACATCCTCACTTCCAGGTGGTGGGGTCCCAAGTCCAGTAAATTCAACTGTATAATCATAGCGAGTAGCTGCATCTATTGCCCTAAGAAAAATAATTTAATCTTATTACATTGAATAGTCATATTTTTAACGTGACGAAGAAATATGAACGACAGTGCAAGAAATAAGACCCCGATCCTGCTAGCTCTTATGCACTTGTTTAACTTCAGGAATATTTATTTCAGCTACTCATGTGCTCGAAGTTAGGCAATACATAAGCATTGGCAGGATCAGAGCCTTATTCTGTAGTACTGTGAAATAAGATTAAATCGGGGTAGGCAAACTACGGCCCTACAGCTCGTGGTTCCCTGTTCCCGGCCAATGGGAGCTGCGGGGGGAGCAGTGCTTGAAGGTGAGGGCAGCGTGCGGAGCCCTCTGCCCGCCCCGCCCCGCCCCGCCCCACCCCAGGGGCCGCAGGGATGTGGCGCCGGCCAGTTCCGGGAGCGGCACGGGGCCAGGGCAGGCAGCCTGCCTGAGCCCCACTGCTGCCACCCAGAGCTGCTCAAGGTAAGTGGCACTGGGCCGGAGCCCGCACCCCAACCCTCTGCCCTGAGCCTCCTGCCTCACCCCTCCTGCACCTCAACCCCCTGCCCTGAGCCCCCAGCCACCTGCCCTGAACCCCCTCCTGCACTCCACACCCCTCCCTGCACCCCAACCTCTTCCGAGCCCCCTCCCGCACTCCGCACCCTGTCCTGCGCCCCAGCCCCCTGCCCTGAGCCTCCTTGTACACCCCGCACCCCAACCCCTTGCCCTGAGCCCCTTCCTGTACACTGCACCCCCTCCCACACCCCGCACTACCTGCCACACCCCAACCCCCTGCCCCAGCCCTACATTCATGGCCCTGCATGCAATTTTCCCACCCAGATGTGGCCCTTGGGCCAAAAAGTTCACCCACCCCCGGATTAAATTGTTATCGCTGTATTTTTAAATAAACCAAAATTCCTCTAATATTTCGCAAGCATCTGCTGGAAAATATACATATTCATTATTATACCCTCTCTCTGTCTTAATAGAGCAAACAGAATGAATAAAAATACAACAGCTTGTGTAATACATCAGCTTCTTGTACTTTGTCAAGTTTTCAGAATTTAATCACACTATTATCTTTTGAGACGAGTGCATTTAAAAAAGGCAATACTGGCTAAAAACTAGAAATATATGCTTGAATCTGGAAGTCTGCAGGCCCAGTATAGCTTTACTAGTATCTGAAAACCCATGCTGTTGTAGAGGTGTAATTTATGAAGTAAAATGGTTGAGAACTTAAAATTTGGATGGTACCAGACCATGAATCCCAGTGATTACTGAACCTGGTGATATTCTAAACAAAAAAAAAGGGGTGGTGGTGGGCCTGAGATATTATTGGGGTACAGCTCACTTCATCAGTGATCTCATCAGATCGATGAAGTGAGCTGTATCCCACAAAAAGGGAGGGGCCGTGATTACTGAACCTAACACGGCTGTTCCTCTGAAACCTGTCATTCTAAACAAAAGAATCTTTAGAGTCATGCTTCCAGCTGCTTCCTTGCATCATACTCACTCAACATTCTAGGCTTCAGAGTGATGTTTGGGGTTAGAGTGTGCTGGTTATGTTGTGTGGGTGGTTGTGTTATACTGCAAAATTTGTATTTATTTGTGTAATGTAAATAAAGGGTGTGTGCTGTGGTGAGGGACTGTGTGTGTTTGGGGCTACTGTGTATGGTGGCTGTGTTTTTGTGTAGTTGGTTGCATTGATTTGTGTCTGGGGGAGATGTGCTGGGAGATTTGTGTTGATTTGTACATGCAGTGAATGAGGGATGTAAGCTGCAGTGAGGAGCTGTGTGTGGTTAAGGTTATTGTGTGTGCTGGTTGTGTTGCTGGGTGGGTGGGTTTGAAAAACTGGCAGTTGGGTCATGTCTCCATCATCTGTGCAGTTTCCCTTATACAACCAATTAAACTTCTACATGCAATATAGCTGTATAGGAGGGGTGGTGATTTGTTTAGTTACCCTGATATCATAATGGTCTTCTAGGGACTCTTGGCATGGCACAGATACATGCCTTGCTGTGTAATAGATGTAATTTGTTAAGTCAAAATGGCTAAGAACTTAAAAACTGGACAGTAACAGGTTGCAAAACCAACCTGGTGATATTCTGAACAAAAAGAGAAGCATAGAATGGTAAGTCAGTGTGATGCAAAGAAAAAAGCTGCAAGCATGCTTATAGCGGTTCCCATCACTTCTCACTGACTCTGCAGACATAGTAAGGCTTCAGAGTGGCAGTCTTGGAATCTTATTATACAGATGAGGAGAACGGAGGCATCTCAGGTCCATAACAGTGTGCATGGGGATCATATTAAGGTGAGAAAGAGATCTAAAAGGGCCACCTCTCTTCCTCTGCACTATTCCAAGAACCAATAGGTATGATAAAACTGGCGGACCTCAGAAGCAGCTCACTGGAGACAAAGCACCCAGCTGTAGAATTCTCTGCCACAGAAGATCAGGAATGCAAGATTCACACCACAAAATTTAAATATTTTCCTATATTTATTACACCAAATACAAGACAGATGTTGTGACATAAGAACTCCTCAATGCCAACTGGCAAGGGAGTTACAGGAATATCCTAATTCTAGTATATACATTCTGGTTTACCAAAAAAGGTCATCTGAGCCCTTAAATGAAAGTCAGGGTCACACAAGTCGTTAATATTGTTGTGAAATGTAGGTACAAATATTATGTAAGGAGTTATAGGTGTATACTGAAAATAGGTTCTTAGTGTCTGTAACACAGCAGAGGCGAACAGTTTTCCTGACAGAAAAGACGTTTATTCCTCTGTCTCTCTGTTGGCATGTAAATTAAGCACTGAAAGCTAACACAATGGAGGCACATTTACATACAAAATCAACAGAAAGATATGAAATGAACCACAAAGAGCACGCAATGGGGGGGAAGAGAACCTTATCTTGAACCACACTTCAAAGGTTTGCTGGACTATATTTGGGGAACAGAGAAGACACCTCACCTTCCTGCACTTAGGAAGTAAACAGGCAGTGTGTTTAGATTCATGAAAATAGGATCTTAACCATCCTTGACTGAAATACTTCAGAGGACATTTGGGGTGACAGGAGATTAGCCTGTTAAATTTAGTCTCTAGAAAGCATGTTATGATTTTGTTTTATATGTAACCTTTTGCTTCCAATATCCTTATTATTTCTTGAATCTTGGGTCATAAACCTATCCTTGATTTCACTATAAATATATTAAACTAGGTGAAAAGAAAAGGAGTACTTGGGGCACTTTAGAGACTAACCAATTTATTTGAGCATAAGCTTTTGTGAGCTACAGCTCACTTCATGGAATGCATCCGATGAAGTGAGCTGCAGCTCACGAAAGCTTATGCTCAAATAAATTGATTAGTCTCTAAGGTGCCACAAGTACTCCTTTTCTTTTTGCGAATACAGACTAACACAGCTGCTATTCTGAAACCCATTAAACTAGGTGCTGATCCTGAGTTGAATCCTACAAGTTGCTGTGTATACTGTTTCCTTGGGGACAGCAGACCTAGTATTTCTGTGAATGTTCAGTGGATAAGGGGCTGGTACTACAGGGGAATGCTTCAAAGGGATTCCGGACTGAGTCACACCTATTATTAACCTGTAAGGCAAAGTAAGGCTGGCATACCCTGTTGGATCATATTAAAAAAGTTCTGTATTAAAATCACAAATGAGTTTGATTCCCCATAGTTTAAATTCCAGGCTATTACTAATTAAGAGGTCTCTTGGTTTTTGGTACTGTTTCTCTCCCTCTATGTGTGAAACTTGCAAGCTGCTAATTGTGTTAGAACATTCCAAGACAGAGTCTGTTCTCAAAGCAATCTTTGTAACAACAACTACTCACACAGAGAGAGGCTCAAAGCAATACTCTGTAACAATAGAAACAGTACCCAGAGACTCCCCGCCCTTTTGTTGTATTCATCTTGCTTTGTTAACAATTGTGATTAAAATAGAGATACAGGATGTATGTTGATGGATGCTTGGTGTGGATAATAACTGAATGATCAGGGAGGTGCCAGCCTAAGAATCCAGTGTACATCGGCTGAAGAAGGCATCAAGTGGAAATAACCAGAGGACCCCCGGAGGGCAGACTGGAATCCACCCAACAGCCTCAAGAATGGGAGAACCAAAGAACAACACAACATCTGGCAGCACGGAGCCATCAGGAATGTGCCAAATCTGCTGATTGATTCAGCAACAGCATGATGAAGCAATTCCCATAGACTTGCATAGGAAGAAATTCCTATAAAAATGGACTCTAGAAAGTGAGAACTTTGGGGTCTGATTCTGCAAACCAACTTCCAGGAGCATCAGATGAGCATCTGACAAGGCCCTGCTCCCTCCTCATGTCCAGGCCACCTAGCCAGTGGCTTGGCATGAGCAACTCTAAGGCTGGTAACTATGATAACAACCTTGCAGAACCCGAGTGTGTGTGTGTATGAATGAATGTGTGAATAAATATGAAATTGAATAGAATGTTATAGCTATAACTAACTGCTTACTATGATTCTTTCTGTATTCACAATAAATGTGGCATTTTGCCATTTCCCCTTTAAAAAGATCCTGCTGGTTTTTACTTTTTATTGGTATAACAACCCCAGAAGAGAGAGCATGTGTGACTAACAGGCTGGTACTGTCAAGCAGATGATATCCAGTTAAACATAAGCAAGCCTCCCTCTCACTGGAGGCGAGGGTAACAAGAAGAAAAGGAGTACTTTTGGCACCTTAGAGACTAACCAATTTATTTGAGCATAAGCTTTCGTGAGCTACAGCTCACTTCATCAGATGCATACTGTGGAAAGTGTAGAAGATCTTTTTATACACACAAAGCATGAAAAAATACCTCCCCCCACCCCACTCTCCTGCTGGTAATAGCTTATCTAAAGTGACCACTTTCCTTACAATGTGTATGATAATCAAGGTGGGCCATTTCCAGCACAAATCCAGGGTTTAACAAGAACGTCTGGGGGGGGAGGGGTAGGAAAAAACAAGGGGAAATAGGTTACCTTGCATAATGACTTAGCCACTCCCAGTCTCTATTCAAGCCTAAGTTAATTGTATCCAATTTGCAAATGAATTCCAATTCAGCAGTCTCTCGCTGGAGTCTGGATTTGAACATTTTTTGCTGTAATATCGCAACTTTCATGTCTGTAATCGCATGACCAGAGAGATTGAAGTGTTCTCTGACTGGTTTATGAAGGTTATAATTCTTGACATCTGATTTGTGTCCATTTATTCTTTTACGTAGAGACTGTCCAATTTGACCAATGTACATGGCAGAGGGGCATTGCTGGCACATCATGGCATATATCACATTGGTGGATGTGCAGGTGAACGAGCCTCTGATAGTGTGGCTGATGTGATTAGGCCCTGTGATGGTGTCCCCTGAACAGATATGTGGGCACAGTTGGCAACGGGCTTTGTTGCAAGGATAGGTTCCTGGGCTAGTGGTTCTGTTGTGTGGTATGTGGTTGCTGGTGAGTATTCGCTTCAGGTTGGGGGGCTGTCTGTAGGTGCAGTGAAACTTTGTCCTTACTGAACGTGATGAAATGGGGGAGTTGCTGTTAGAGGGCTTATCCGTTCACCCTCTCAGTTCCCTGGTCCTTCTCACGTGAACAGAGAGCAGTAATACCCGAAGTCCGAAGGTGCAAACAATTCAATGTTTATTGGGGTGAACTTCCAGCAAGAAATGATTCCAATTTCCTTTCTCAGTGTCCCCCTTCCTAGCTCTGACGCCACAGAGCCTTGCCTGTGACCTTGTTCCCATTCCCCACCTTAGCAAAACATGATTCTAATTCCCCCCCATTCCTGATTGACTAAAGACTATATAGTAAAACTTGAGTTCTGCTTAGTTATACCTTAACCAATCATTTTACTGTAACATGATTATCTAACCAATTATATCCCACCACCTTAATTGGTTTACACCCAACAAAATTAATTATACGGCAGGCAGAAACAATCACAGAACCAGACAGAGATTATACATACAAACAACCACCTTCACACATAAACTGTATTTAAAAAGTAAATCTCTACCATTGCTTTTTACTGTTTTGAGTACAAATAATGTAATGTACAGTAACTAGCAAACTCACCAACTCTGAAATTGTGTTTGGTCCCATTCAAATTTATGGTCTGAATGTCTGAACAGTGTCACTCCTGGGAGCAAAGGATTAAATTCTGAGTTTGGAGTGCTGATTACAATCATGGCTGGAGCCATAAAACCAAATACCACTTCTGGAAACTTTTCCAGTTCTGCTGCTTCCAGGTGCTCTATTCTGAAAAAGATAGGATTACATGGGTCCTTGAAGTCTTACAGGGTCTTTTGACTTTCTCTACAATCAATTCAACTAAACTATGTATGTCCTAATATTTCAGTCATGTGGTTAAAATTACACCACTGCTGCAAATAGAATAAATATAAGTTGTCCAAGGGGATTCTTTACTATTTTTCATAAGCTCTCCCTCTTTCATACTTTTTTTCACGCTTCCATCGACACACATTGCCCAAAGTTCCACATATGATTACCTTCACACATTAGAAAGGTCAGCCACATCCCGCTAATCTTCCATTTGAATTATGAAAGTGTTAAATGTACAGGATTGAACAAGTTTGCTAAGAGTAAAGGCTTTGAACTCTAATTTCAACCCTCCTGATCTCAATGAGTCTTGCCACATTACAAAGTACGATGCAAAGGAAAAACAGAATGAAACATGGAATTCTGCTCTATGAATATTTATATTTACAATGTGTTTGATAAGAAAAATTGGAGAACATAAGCTTAATACTCACAATTCAATGCATGTTACCATGTCAAAACCAAGCATGCAAGAATCTTTATGAGCAACTGAGCCATGATGCAGGGTCACAGTTAGAGATCTTTCACTTGGTTGCAGGTAATCAGCAGGAAGGGGAGACAACATATGCCTAGGAAAACGTTCAAAATGAAACAATTGTTGACCTAAAAACTCTATATCCTTATATAGCCTATTAGCTTGGCTATGTGAGCAAGTGTACCCATTGCTATGTAGTTGTGCTAAGAGGAGAAAAATGCCAGCTTGCTAGAAATTATTACCTCAAGAATTGTTAAATAAGAATATTGTTAGCAATATTCTTCACTAACCGCAACAAGTACCAGATATTTAGGTTAGCAAAATACAGTAAGTAAATAACAGATGTTTGATCATACAGTTGGAGATTTATTGGAAAGTTTGTAAATATGCTAAAAATAAGTCTGTCTGTGAAAAAGAGGAAATTAAAAAAATGAAACTGTAAACAATTCCTGAATAAAATATGCCAAGTTGTAAGCAAAATTAGAACCAGACAAATAGGTCAAGCTAATCATCAGGCTGCAAAGAGCAGTTCTCACAGACTTGACAATAACCAATTTATTTGAGCATAAGCTTTCGTGAGCTACAGCTCACTTCATCGGATGCATACTGTGGAAACTGCAGAAGACATTATATACACAGAGACCATGAAACAATACCTCCTCCCACCCCACTCTCCTGCTGGTAATCGCTTATCTAAAGTGATATTAGTTTCTGCAGTTTCCACAGTATGCATCCGATGAAGTGAGCTGTAGCTCACAAAAGCTTATGCTCAAATAAACTGGTTAGTCTCTAAGGTGCCACAAGTACTCCTTTTCTTTTTGCGAATACAGACTAACACGGCTGTTACTCTGAGACTTGACAATGTACCTTTCTCTTATGCTCTAACAAATTATTTAATAAAATCAAAGTGACTAATCTGAGGTTTTTTTAAGTACTGAGTAAATTGGAACCTCACTCAATTTGTAACACAATACAAGAAGAATCTGGTTGGGACAAGATTCTTGTCCTTAGTCTGTCCTTAATAAGGGCCTCCTGTAAGAAGCTGTACATGCTTAACTCCTGTTTATTTCAATGGGAGTTGAGCATGTTCAGCAACAAACAGGTACAGGAACATGCAAGACAAAAGAATAAGTACGCATTTGTAATTGTTTGGTGCTGAACAATTAATATGACTCAATCTTCCTAAAAAACATTAAAGTTAACTTTTTACCGAGGATAAGTACCTCTTAACAGACAAAACAGTTTTCAGTAAGACTTAAGATTAAATTTAATTTAATCATCCAGGAGATGATTTTTGAGGTTCTCCTGGATAGTTGCTTAAGATGGGAATCACTGTGGTCCCTTACATAGAAAAATATCAATAAATCAATAATCTTCTGAGTATGTCAATAGACACCCAAGTCTTAAAGGAAGCAAACAAAAGAAAAACCTACTATGTAAAGACTAAAGTTAATTGAAATCTATAAATAAGCACACAGGCTGAGGCTCCATCTTTAAATTATGATAATGTTTAAAATCTGAGAGACCAACAATAAGTCCCCGACTGGAAAAAAAATCAGCTTAGATGTTTCGCCTCAATGATTTTAAACCCAAAACTTATTTATACTTTGTTTTTCTTTTGAAATTATGAAGATTCTACATACATTGTTCCTTATAACCCAATCACTGAAGCCTGGAGATATTAAAAAGATTAAAACATAACCAAAATGTCCTGTGTGGACTGCACAGAACAATGGGGATTTGACAAATGGGCACTGGTTGCTGCAGTAGTTGACTGATACAGGAAAAAATGGCAGATGAACCCTCAGCTTCACAACTACACAGAAAAAGTAACATTTAAGTTAAATTTGGAGCCTGAAACCTTGACTGTAATAAAGCCTCAACTGAGAACTGATACAGAATAAAAATTAAAAAAAAAATCTGAGCTCTTTTATGGGCCTGACCTTAAAGGGTCTTTCACCATGTATACTGCAGAAGAGGACCCCTGGGTCAAATCTCAACCTTGAAGAGAAGACTACAGCACTGTACTCTCCTGATTGGTGATAAGTTCACACCAAACCTATTCAAGTGTGGGGGAAGGAAGCTAGCTTTGTTTCCAACAAAATATACTGTCTTTGAAGTTCTTTCTGTGTTAACCTGTCATATTTCTTGTGAATTGATGTGACATTAAAAAAAAAATGGCCAAAAAAAGCTTGTGATTTCTTCCCTTCATCAAAGGCAGTTTGACCTGGACATAGGCAGAACCCAGTAATTGAAAAATGAAAGTATGTGGTGTGTTTTTGGAATCTACAAAGTGCCTCTTATTGTCCGTTGGGAAAAGAAACAAACCTAATGCAAATGAGCAGCCACCTGCTATGACTATCTACAATAAGACAAGAAAGTAAAGGAGGAATTGGACTTCAGCAATAGTCCTCCAAGGTTGCAAAAATCCAACTTTGCTGCCAGATATCTTTGAAGATAAGAGATGCTATTGTCAGCTCTGATAGCAATAGAGTTCCAGAAACATAGCAAACTGAGATGCTTACAAAAACCAAACCAAAATTAAAAAAAAATCCTTATAATTTCCAATAAGAAAGTTACTATGAATGCATATTAACCTCCTTTCAAAACAAAATAACTAAAATAAATTGGTTATTGAAGACATTTGTAAATTTCCTTTTAAACATTTTGTTTATACATTATAAAACAACATATACAGTAATAAAAAAATAAATATAAAGCTCCTTCACCCCAGGTAAATAACAATCACCACGAAAACTTGTGTGTGGTACAATCTATATCCTGCAGCTATCACTGGCAATGGTTCTTTCAACTTCAACTTCTGTGTTCAGGAAACAGAGCTTTTTCACCAACCGGTGCATAAATTTGGAACTCAGTCCTGAAAGAGCTCACATAACCACAAACTCCAGTGCCTTCTCAGCAAAATACAAAACCCATTTCTCTAACCTCACCTTCCCACAATAAAAACAAAAACAACAAAGTCCAATCCATATTGATTGGAAGGAAAAGAGAGCAAAATATAACTTATGCAACTGTCAATTTTGGGAAGTGCTCAGCTAACCGTAGTGATGGGTGCCACATAAAAACAAACAGATTTGATGCCAACAACAGCATGTGGCATACCAGTAGTTTTACAAAACCACCATACCAATTCCCAATATACTCAATCTTTACATACCAAATAGTTCACAACTTTACATTATCTTTATGCTGAATCTCTTGACAACTACCGCTGCAACATGCTGTTAGGCGGAACCAAACACTGAATTATTAAGAAAAATAATGCAAAAAGCATCTTACATTTTCTCCTTCATCACATTTTCCCTGATATCTAGCCCGGCTAGCACCTCAATGCATTTGCAGAATTTCAGCATCCAGAGTAGTGTACAGTCAGCACATCCCAAGTCTGCAACCTATAAAGTAGGTTTGAAAACAATGGCATCTTAATACCCCATATTCTTAAGTTATTTGTGTGACTCACAAAATATGTTCTGCATTGATATTAAACAAACTTTTTATGAAATAGGAATTAAATGCATTGCATTTCTATGAAATTTTATAATTTAGTTTTACAAGCGGTACATGAATTGAAAAGATTCTTTACAAAGCACATTTAGGCCCCAGTCCTGCAAGCTGTTCTACACAGGTTGGCCTTTATGCAGTTAATAGGGCTCCACATGAGCATAAGGGTTCACTCATGTGCAATAGTTTAGATCCTGAGCCAGCAAAGACTTACACACATGCTCAGAGGTGCTGCAACTGGGGGTGCTGCTGCACCCCCTGTCCTGAAGTAGTAATAACAACCCAAATATATGGTTTCAGCCTTCAGTAGCCCCACTATAAAAATGGTTCCCGCACCACCGCACATGCTCAACTCTTCTCAATGAATAGCTCCATTTTTTTCATTGGGATTACTCACAATGCATAAAGTCAAGAACCTGCCCAGCACCATCCAGATAGCTAGGCAGGGCCCTATCAACAATGAATTAGTAGGCTTTATCCAGCTTTTTTTTTTTGGGGGGGGGGGGGGGGGGGGCATCCACTGTAATCTCAAGGACAGGATGAGCATGCAAACTAAACAACACTCTACACCCCAATACTCCGTTCAGATCAGGATTGAAGCCCACTGAAGCTCAGCTGATGTAGGGAAGCCTCAACTGTTTCTACTCAGGCTAAATCTGACCTGTTGATGAACAGAGAACTCCAGTTTTTACACTAAATTAATTTATCAAAAAAAAAATAAATAAATAAAATTTTGTATTGCCAAGCCAGAAGCATTAAAGTTTTATAGATACAGCTGCAACAGAGCTACTGAACAGATCCTGTTCAAAACCAGATCAAAATGTCATGATCTCATACAGTGGAACAGAAAAGTGCTTTATAAAGCAATAAATTAGCTATTGGTAATGTGAGTACATAAGAAACACAAATGTCATTATACAACTGCCAAAAGCTCACATATTCCCTGAGACATTAAAACCTGTGTCACAGAGACCCAATGTTGGGGAGAACATGGAGATTAACCCTAGATCCCTACACTTTTTTTATTTCAAAATTTAGAAAATTAAAAAGGTTAGCACTTTTCATTTTTCATCTTCAAATCTTTTTAAAACAGTAAGTGCCTTGGCATCTTCAATTTCCAGTGGAAAAAAAACAGGATTCTCTTTTATTTTTGCGCAGATGATTGCATACTAACACTATCCCAGATTTTTAATGTCTTTCTTTTGTGTAAGTGTGCATTTTTGCTTGGCTGAGAGAGAGGAGCCTGGCACTATATTGGCACTACAAAACAGAGAGACTGAAAGATGTCTAGGGCTTGTCTTCATTGCAACAGTTAGCTTAAGTGAGAACAACCACTCTGCTAAGCAACACTGTACATAGTTACACATTGAATAATTTTGATTAGGAGCACAGGGTACATCTACACTGCAGCTGGCAATGTGCCTCCCAATGCAAGGAGATTTAAGCATGCTAGCACGCTTAAAATAGCAGTATGGCCATTGCAACATGGGTGGCAGCTCAGGCTAACCATTCAAGCTTGGCGGAGCTTGGACTCAGGTGGCTACCCCAAGCTGCCATGTGTGCTGCAACATCCATCACATTTTTTTTTTAGTGTGCTAGCTTGAGCAAAGCTAGGGTGAGTCTTTCTACCCACTTTGGGAGTCATGTTTCCAATTGCACAGTAGACATATAGGCAGAGTGATTGGTTTAACTGCTTCTGTGTTGTTGTAACTTGAGCTGCTGCATCCCCACAGCATTACTAGCAAGCATCAGCAGCACTTGAGTTTCAACCCCACAAGCTACCTTGAGTTTAAAGCACCACTTAAAAATCTCTAGTTTGAGTTACGTGTGGACAGGAGTTGGGTTAGGGGCAAAACCTGAGTTGGTTCAAGCTAACATTGCAGTGAAGACAAACCTTTAGGGGAAGGAGCTCGGACTAAGCCCTTCAAAGAGTCTTTTCAAATATTTTTTTCCTCTAAAAAGAAAACAATAAAATGTTCAGAAAATCACCCACTGCCCAGCAAGAGGCAAACATACTTTTATTTGTGTGTTTTAAGCCCCAAAAAACACTTGAGTTCCAGTGTTTTTTCTTCAGTTGACTAGTTATATGAGCCTGGAAAAAGCCAAACATGGCTGTCAAGAATAGTTTGCCAAGGTAACTCAGCTTTAACAAAACTCCCTGAAGTGCTGGTTCTTGGCATTGGAAGTCAGACAACACTGGTATTTCCTGTTTCTAGATGTCTTGTGCAAGCATTTACTGTATCTTTTAAAATGTAAGCTCTGAAAAAACAAACATACCAACCTTCTTAGGTTTGTATTTAATCACTAAATCTTTAATGAACTGGTAACGTTGTTTGTACAGGGGAGGTATGAACTTAATTGTTCCTCTGAGATCATCCTTTTGAAGATTTGTATCCATCATACTGTCCACACTAAAAATTAAAAATAAAGTTTTCTGAAATATTTTCACAACAAATTTTGTCAGTTTATTGTTCTCTGTGGTATTTAATTCATAATATAGATGTGATCCTGTTTTCATATTAAGTCAGTGACAAAATTCTTACTGATGTCAATGGGAACAAAATGAGGCTTTGTACCCCTTTCACCATATTTGACAATGAAAATACCCTTTACACAGTCATAATACAAATCAGTCATTTCCCAACAGCTTATCTTTGTCCATCCAAATGGGGGGGAGCAAGAAGGAACAGGTGTCAAGCACAGTCCACTGTAGCCGGGTCGGCTAATTTTTCAACCAATTGCAAAAAAAAATTACCTAAAATATCATTTTCATACCTTTGCTATTGCAACTGCTTTGTTTTATATTTACTGTTTGTGTATTTGTTTGGCTCAATATACTTTATGTAAAGTGGCAAATAACAGGAAATGTTTTTTGTGATTAATGTTCCTATATAACATGAAAGGTTCAGTCAGCCCTTAGCTTTAGATTTATTACAAATTAGAGGCATATAATCAGTGCCTGCAGTAAAATTTTACATTACATTGCTAATAAAATGCAATGTCTCACTGGAAAGATAATCATTACTGCATTTTCAATCTCTGCATTTTCCCCATTACTTAAGTTACATCCTTGAACAAAAAAATGTTTGGAAAGAAATATCCTCCTAAACCTAAAAACAAGGGTTTCATAATATTAATAGCATGATAAATTATGAATGAAGTCAGCAGGAATAGAGTAAGCTAGGCAGTGCAAAGTCTTTTGAATAGGTGTCTTTCTAGTTCAATGCTCATAGTTTGCATCTGTGGTGAACAGCTCCCTGGCAGGTCTAATTAGAAAGAACTGCTATCAAACATGTTTGTGACAAGGCTACTGACAATTTTGCCTTTGCATGGCCTTCAAAGCCTTCTAGGGCTGTCTCATCACTGAAAGAAATGTGATTTAGGATCTCTCTCAAGAAATACGAGAAATGAAGGGAAATACAGCTCTTTGTGCCGTGGGCCAGGCTCCAGGGCCAATGCCCAGGCTTGGCAATAGGGCATCTTCCAGCCATTCCAAGCGAAATACAGGACTGTTTTTGGTGGTATCACCAACTACTGAATTTGGAATAAAAAACCCCACTCATGTCACATCTTCCTCTGGAGCCCCAAATTCCTGGGCTACCACCCCTCAGTCTGCACTCACAACACCCCCCCCCCCAAATACTAGGATACGCCCCCACCTCATTCTGCAGCCCCTGCACCCTCGGGCCCTTGCCTACACCTCATTCGCTGAGCTCCAGATCCTCGGGAGCTTCCCCCCACCCCGGCACCGATCCCTGCCCCCACTCCTAAACCCGAGGGCTCTTCACGCTGCCTCAGCCCCAGGAGCCTCTCCTCCCCCCACTGACGGATACCTGTAGTCGCCCTGCCGGAGTAAGATGCCTCACAGGACCCGTGGCCGCGCGGGGACGAAGGCAGAGAGCGACGGGCTCTAGAGGAGCCGCTCACGCGAGGACGGTTAGCAAGTGGCAGAGAGCGGAACGCCCCGCCCCTCTGCGTCCCACGGAACACCCAGTTCCCTCCTCCCCTCGGCTTGGCTACCCCACATCGGCTCTGCTCTAATCCCCCTCCAGGCTTTCTGTATGCCCCGGGCCCCTTCGTCTCTCCCTAGCCCCCAGCACTGGTCTGTTCCCCGCTCTTCCTCACCTTGACCACCCCCAACCAAAGCCACCCTCTGTCTCTGCCTGGCTCATCTCCCAGTCCTTTCTGTCCCAGCCTTACCCTGCATATTTCCTTTACATTAGGGTTTTCCCCTCTGGGGGAAGAGTGAAAAGAATTAAGCCGTCCTACTGCAGGTCAGGGAGGATCACCAATGCACAGCGACTGAGCAGCTGTCACTTTCTTCAACACAGCCCCATGATTAAAAGATTCTGGACTTGTAAGGCCTAGTACCATGGGATTTATTTGGCAATGAAAGAATGAGTTATCAAATCCAAGTCACCACTCAGGTGCTGATGAGCTCCTAAAAGACTAGGTCTATTACTCAGCCAAAACCAGAGTCAGGCTTCTTCTCTCTGTTGGAGCCAGGTCTCAGATCTGTCTCCTTCACTAAGGACTGTAAAATAAGCCATGTTTGAAGTTTCTTGCTTCAGCCATTTTTTACTTATATGGCCACAACATTTTACTTTAGAATTCATGGGAAAAGAGCAAGAATTAACTTATCACATAAAAATAGCAAACTTTTTTTCAGCAAAATCTGTTTTTCAGTCTGGAAAGTTTCAGCCCCAAAAGATTTTTTTTTTTAGAAGTTATGAGCAGAGACTTGCAAATCTGCAGATACGTTCTTTGTATCTATGGATACATGCACCAGTGGATGCAGATATCCATGGACCATTTTTGTGACCCGCGAATCAGATGCAGATACAAATTTTGTATCTAGAGTCCTGCAAATCTGCAGACATCTGGTTTATATCCGTGGACCATTTTTGCGTATCATGAATCAGATGTGGATACAAATTTTGTATCCACGCAGGACTCTAGTTACGAGCAAGTGAAAAAGTGGTGTAAGAATGGAAACAGCATCTTGGCATTAATGCAATTACTACTAGCAAAGTCTATTTATTTACATCTGGTGTTCAAACTTTTTCATAGTATGAACTACAACAGTGAGATTTTGCAGACTTTGTGTATGTGTGAGATAGAGAGAGAGAGAGAGATTTTAGGAACAGCATCAGCTTGAATTCTAGTCAACATCCAAATACAAATTAAACTTAGTTTCAGGTCAGACACCTGCTCAAGCATCCTGGGAATTTTTATTTTACTGTTTTTTCTGTTTTAAAAACTTTTCTCTCCTGTTGCTATATGAAAAACCTGGACAAACAGTGAAAACTGACTTTGATTAAAATGATGACATGTAAAGGACCTGGATCCTGCAAGATCCTTTTCGGGGTTGGACCTTTGCATTTGTTTACTCTGACTGCATAGTTCTTCTTGCAAGATCAGGGCCAAAGTGCTGTCAAATACGCAAACTGAAAGCAATAGAGAAAATGTTTTTCCTTGTAATATCTTTAAGTTGTAGTAATTTTTGTATTACTTTTAACCATAGTAGGTTTTAAACAGCCCTCAGACAGAAGTGTGATTATTTAATTAATGGCATCCTTTTAACATATACTTGTCCATTTTTAAACAAAATCTAAGTTAAAATTTGTATGAATTTTTAATTCAAAAATTAAAAATAGTGTTTTTTAATAGGTAGGTTGTTGTAGAAATGCATTGGGATTACGGGCCAGTCACCAAGGCTCAGATCCACACAGGGACTTCCTGTCTAGTCACCAATCCCCAGGAAATGGCTTGACCATCAATTACTTACTTCATTATAAAACGGTTTTGAAGTTAGAACAGACATCTTTTAATACAGTTGTCAGTAATGCTGGGACCCTGTCCATACTTTTAAAGTTTTTGGATATCACATTTTTAGGTTGTTATAGTTCCTGCATGTCTTGTAAATAACTGAGATAAGGTGGGTGAGGAAATCTATTGGACCAACTTCTACTGGTGAAAGAGACAAGTTTTTGAGACGCATGGAACTCTTTTTCAGGCCTGGGAAAGTACTCAAAGTGTCACAGCAAAATAGGAGGTGGAACAGATTGTTTAGCATAAGTAGTTAACATATATTCTAAGGGAAGTGCCCTGTTACATCTCTGCAGACAGGCCAAAAAAGACAGGTAAGTGGGTTACGGGTTGTTGTAACAAACCACAAATCCAAGGTATTTATTAAGACCAATATTGTTAATGTGTAGCAAAATGATTAATTTAAGCTCCCACGCTAATTGTTTGAAGGTGTTGTGCATAGGGTTGCCAACCCTCCCGGTTTCGTTAGGAATCTCCCGGAATCAGGCTCCATCTCCCAGAGGCTGCTGAAGCCAACCCGGGAGACTTTAGGCCGCTAAAAGTCCGGCGACGTGGCAAGGCTAAGGCAGGCTCCCCGCCTGCCCTGGCCCCACGCCACTCCCGGAAGTGTCTGGCACGTCCCTGCGACCCCTGGGCATGGGGGGTGTCATAAATATAAAGGGAAGGGTAAACCCCTTTGAAATCCCTCCTGGCCAGGGGAAAGCTCCTCTCACCTGTAAAGGGTTAAGAAGCTAAAGGTAACCTCGCTGGCACCTGACCAAAATGACCAATGAGGAGACAAGATACTTTCAAAAGCTGGGAGGAGGGAGAGAAACAAAGGGTCTGTGTCTGTCTGTATGCATGCTGCTTTTGCCAGGGACAGAACAGGAATGGAGTCTTAGAGCTTTTAGTAAGTAATCTAGCTAGGTATGTGTTAGATTATGATTTCTTTCAATGGCTGAGAAAAGAATTGTGCTGAATAGAATAACTATTTCTGTCTGTGTATCTTTTTTGTAACTTAAGGTTTTGCCTAGAGGGGTTCTCTGTGTTTTTGAATCTAATTACCCTGTAAGATATCTACCATCCTGATTTTACAGGGGGGATTTCTTTATTTCTATTTACTTCTATTTTTTATTAAAAGTCTTCTTGTAAAAAACTGAATGCTTTTTCATTGTTCTCAGATCCAAGGGTTTGGGTCTGTGGTCACCTATGCAAATTGGTGAGGCTTTTTATCCAACATTTCCCAGGAAAGGGGGGGTGCAAGTGTTGGGAGGATTGTTCATTGTTCTTAAGATCCAAGGGTCTGGGTCTGTAGTCACCTAGGCAAATTGGTGAGGCTTTTTACCAAACCTTGTCCAGGAAGTGGGGTGCAGGGTTTTGGGAAGTATTTTGGGGGGAAAGACGTGTCCAAACAGCTCTTCCCCAGTAACCAGTATTAGTTTGGTGGTGGTAGCGGCCAGTCCAAGGACAACGGGGGGAATATTTTGTACCTTGGGGAAGTTTTGACCTAAGCTGGTAAAGATAAGCTTAGGAGGTTTTTTTCATGCAGGTCCCCACATCTGTACTTTAGAGTTCAGAGTGGGGAAGGAACCTTGACAGGGGGTCAGGGAGGCTCTACGTGCTGCCTCCACCCAGAGCACTGACTCCGCAGCTCCCATTGGTCGGGAACTGCAGCCAATGAGAGTGGCAGGGGCAGTGCGCGGAGACCCCATCCCGTCCTGTCCCATTCCTCCCCCCCGGGGCCGTAGGGACATACCGACTGCTTCCAGGAGTGGCGTAGGGCCAGGGCAGGCAGGGAGCCTGCCATAGCCCCACTGCACCACCACCCGGGAGCCACCTGAAGTAAGTGTCGCCCAGCTGGAGCCCGCACCTCTCACCCCCTCCCGCATCCCAACCCCCTGCCCCAGCCCTGAGCCCCTTCCAGCACCCAAACTCCATCCAGAGCTTGCACCCCACACTCCCACCTGCACTCCAACCCCCTTCCCCAGACTCAGCCCAGAGCCCCCTCCCACACTCCAAACCCCTCGACCCCAGCCCAGAGCCTGCACCCCCTCTCGCCCCCCAACCCTCTGTTCCGGCCTGGTGAAAGTGAATGAGGGTGGAGGAGAGCAAGTGACAGAGGGAGGGGAGATGGAGTGAGCAGGGCGGGGCCTCAGAGAAGGGGTGGGGCAGAGGTAGGACCTCAGGAAAGGGCATGACGGGGCAAGGCAAGGGTGTTTGGGTTTGTGTGATTAGACAGTTGGCAACCCTAATAGTGCAGGATTGCCTTGAGGACAAGGACTGAGAGGTCAGATATGGAGGGATCATTTTGTGAAAAGTGTTTGCCCACAGGTGATAGGGTGTTTTTGTCTTTTATGCTAAATAATCTGTTCCACCTCATATTTAGCTGTGAAACTCAAAAGAGGTACTGTGAGATTTTATTAATATTTGTAAAACACTTTGAATTATTTGGATCAAAGGTTCTGTATTTCCTGTTTTGATTCATTATAGCCTGGTAGAATCATCACTGGATATAAGAGTCAGTATAGCATTTGTGAAGAGGGGAAAAGTGAACCCACACACCTAAAATGATATTTTTGTAGAGGGGGCCTTCTCCACAATTACTAATTTTGAGGTCACTTCTCCCCTACAAAACAAAAGTCATCACAAGAAAACATTTTTCTTGATTGTTAAATATTAGGTAGTGTGTATAGAGGTGGAGATGGGAACCTTTGAAGATTGTCAGAATGAAAAAAGTAGGAAGTGCTGTCAGCAATTTTCAACTTTAGTGTTTTGCTTTGAAGAATTCAAAAGTGAATGCTTGATCTGCAAGTTTTGAAAACCTTTTCTGATAAGAGGGGAAACAATTTATTTTAGTTCCTCACTTCATAAAAGCAGAGTTCCTCAGATTTAGTCTGTTATCTAAAATTTTTGTTTTATTTCTGTCATGCAGTGGCAGATCCAGCCATCCAAGAGGGTTGTTCATTATAAGGCTATTTACACATTATAATCAGTAATTTCAGGCAAGGTACTCCTGCTTCATTCAACTCTAATAGCATCTAAAGGTAAGTGTAATTGTTCAAAGAACTTTTAAATTACCATAATCTACAGAAAGCAATAAATTGAATTATAATACAGATTTTTTTTATATCAGCATAATCCCATATTTTGCATGCTGCAGGG